CAGGCGCGTGCGACCCGCGTGCAAACCCCCGGCGAGCGCGCCCGCCGCGTCCTTCCCGCTGCCTTGAGCCGGACGCCGACCTCCGCGGGGCCGCGCTAAGGGGTTAAACGTGGAAGGCGCGGGATTCCTCGGCGCAAGAACCCGCCGCCCAGGGTGACTCACCTCCGGAGACGGCTGTGTGCTGGACTCCGGCAGAGCAGCCTGGGGTCGGCCCGCGGTGCGCCAGTCTCAGCGGAGCTTGGAGCCGTCAGGGCTCCTTCCACGCCTCCCTGAAGCGAGCCCTGCGAGCTGAAGACCTGCGGAAGCGCCCTAGAGCGTGGTCCCAGCCCTGCGGAGCGCGCGCCGGCGGCCGAGTGGAGCGGTGTGATTGTGGAGAGGAACAGGTAGCATCAGCGGCCAGCCTGCCTTCGGCCTTTCCTGCCTGCGCAGCTGACCTGACTTCCACCGGGTAAAAGCTGCAGCGGCCTGCACCGACCCTGAAGGCTGCAGGAGAATCCCGGAGCCCACCGCCTGGGTGCTCCGGCCGAAGGAACTAGCAGAAGTATGGATTTCCGGCTTGCTTTCCCTCTGTGGCTACTCAGCTCTCCTACCCTCTCCCACTCGGAAACGTAACCTTCAGGGTAACTTGAATCTGTGTTCCTGGGTCACGGTCACTCGTGTTTGACTCAGAGCAAACTACTTTCTTCCTTTAGAGCAGAGTTGTTACCTTAAGTCAGCGCCCCACGAGGAAGCATGCACATTTTGAACCCTCCAAAACGTTAGCAACCCTAAAAAGGTAAGCTATTAAGCCGAGGGGGTAGAAGCGCCAGCCTCCCCGCCACTCGCTTTGCTTTCTTTAGTTCTGCTTTGCCCTCGCTCTCAGCACAACAGAGCTTCAGTGCCCCCAGCGTCTCTGGAGTTCAGCGCCGCCCTGGCTGTGTTTGGGGGTCCGTGTCCCAGGAGTGTGCCTGGGGCAGAAGAAACAGGTAAGGCGAAAGCAGAAGCCGTCCGAGGACGTCCTGTCAGTGGCCGGTGGCCGCGTTTCGCAGAGTAGCTTTCAGCCTGGTTTGTGTCTTTGGAGCCTCAGAATTTCAGAAACGCCCTTGCCAGACCTGTTCCAACTCCCCTTGGTCTTGGCTGTTTTTCCTGTCCTCTAACCGTGCTGGGGGAGGTGACGCGCAGACGCAAGAGGTGTTAGTATAAGGAAGGGCTCACGGTTTGCAAAGAAGTGATTGGCAACTGCCCTGGAAAAATTTAGGAAGCAGAACTGTCTGAGTCATCTCCAGAAGTCTGCGTGCAGACTGGCTCTCCACCCTGATCTTTCGGCCCACGGTGACATGGCTTCCCTTTAGGTCGCTCCAACCCCTGCCCTTCCGTTCTCTGTTGGAAATTATTGCCGACAGGGAGCGACCGGCCTTGTTCTAGAGCTGAGGAGAAATCCCCCAGCCAGCGCTCCCCGTTAGTGGTAGGCCAGGCGCCCTGGTCCTAGCGCAGCTCTTGTGGGTGGCAGAGGGTGGGCCGCCCGCTTGCCGCGGGTTTGGCGCTTTTAAAGAAAGCTGCAGACTCTGCTGTCCGCTGTGCTCAGCTGGACGCCTGATCTCCGCAGTCAGGACTGCACATGCACGTGATGCGCCCTGCAGGTGCACGTGGGATTCTCTCACCTACAGGAGAGTGAAGTATATGTTGGGCACCCGTGGTCCAGATGTGCACAATTCAGAAGTTCAGACTCTCTGAGCACTGGCGGGACGCTGCAGGGACAGTGCCACACCTGGCCTCATGTGACAGGCCCAGTCAGACACAGACCTTGCACAAATACTGTGTCAAATTGCCTTCAGCCAGTACGGAAAAGGTGTAACCAGGTGTAGTGGCATACGCCATAACCCTAGTACTCTGCGAGCCTGGAGCAGGAGGATCCCGAGTTCCAGACCAACCTGGAAAACTTGGTGACTTACTGAGACTCTGTCTCAAAAAAAGAAATACAAATGGATTGGGGACATAGCTGAGTGCTGAGGCCCTGGGTTCAATCCCCAGCACTGGTTCTCCTAAAATGTATGTGAAATAGAAGTGAATTTCATAATTAGACTTAGATCCAAGCCCTAGGATGCTTCTCTACACATGTGTGAATGTTCTAAAATCCAAAAAACTGAAAACTCCAAAGCGTTTCTGCTTTCAAGCATTTTGGATAAAGGATATTCAACTTGTCCTACTATAGTCAGGTGAGAGCGTAGTTACAGTGAATTACGCAGGCTAAGGGAATTTCCCCGTATTTTATATCTGTAAGTTACTTGGACCTTGAATTATAAAAATTACTGAAATCACTAGGGTAAGTGAAAATGAATACTGCAATATTTGCCATGGAAAATATTACCTCCTACCCTCCCCAAAGGCTGACAAAGGGAAAATAAAGCCTTGCGCCTTTGTTTCAGAAGAAAATGTACATTTCTCAGGATTATTTACTAGTCATGAGAACTTGGAAGTGCAAATCTAATCTTCAGTTTCCTCATCAGTAAAATAAAAATAACACCTGTCTTACTTGCTTTACATTGTGGGATTGAAAAAATGTATATAAAGCGTTTTGTAAATAACAAAATGCAAAAGAGTTTTGTTTGCTTGTACTTTACAAATGGGAACCCAGAGCCAATCACAGACATATTCTCTTTGGTTTGGGGAACTCAACTCCAATCACTCACTTCCTCCCACCTCCCCCAAAAGAACTGGGGTGGCTTTGTGCATACTCTGTGCACGCTGAGGTAGCACTTCTCTTGGTCCCGTTCAGTGGAGTTGCCTGGAGACTCATTTTAGTAAACCAGGGTGAAATCCACTTCCTGTTGACTTTTTAATAGGAATCTTTGATAAATGACATCAGTTATATGCCATTTCAATTATATTTACCTTTCAACAAGACATTTTGAAGCATATTGTTGTATTTCTTCAGATCATCCATTTCTAGCAGCAGAAAGTCATTTCTGTAGCTCAACCCACCGTGACAAGACTTCCTTAGATTCTGGATGAATTTAATCATCACAAATCCTTCATAAACATCGCAAACAAAAATATACCATCTCCACATTCCCTGAGGCTTACTTTGTAAACTAGGTTTTATATTAGGTGCAACCTTCTCAGTCTGACTTACCGCTCTGTGAATGGCTATTTTATGTAAAACTCTGTCTTATACAATCCCTAGCTAAATAAATGACATTAAAAATAACACTTTACAAGTGGGTGAGATTTTTATTCCAATCTGATTTGTATTCCAAAGGAAATTATAAAGTGTACTCACTTTTGTATTAAAAAATTCTGACAAAATTTTAATGGAAATCACAACACATGATACATTTGCCTATGAGATGAGCTAGCGTTTTTTTCAGTCACCATCATCTGTCTCCACCTCAAGGATAACCTTCGCATTAGTGAGCAGCGCTGCTGCAGTTGAGGGAACAGAATACCCCAAGAGCTTCCCCAGCCAACCAGGAGCTTTTCTACACCTTCTCATACTGGCGAATGCAGACAACGTCCCCAAAGGTAAGAGTCTGAAAGAGTCAAAAAAATCATCAAGGCATTTTACATGGGAATATTTGCAGCCAAACTTTGAAAAATTCTCATGTATGTATATATATGATTTAACTATTACGTAGTAGAATGCAGACACTAAATACTGCACCAGCTCTTCATCTCGGAAGGTGAATTAAAGGAAACCCTCTGTTTAGTGAGTGAAAGGCAAATGTACACTGCTCATGTCCCTAACATGAAGGTGAAGAAACAAGAGTTTACAATCCGAAGAATTCCTTCGGTTTTAAGTTACCAAGGCCACTGAGCAAAGTCAGTGTGAGGAACGGGGCATCCACACTTTCTCAGCTCTCCACTTCACAAGTGAAAGTGATTTGTAACAGGTTTTCATAACCACTTTCCGTACATAATCTAGATAAATTTCTTTAGGAAATGCAGTCATTTGAACTAGTGGTGTTTGAAATGACTTGTTCAGAAATCAGCAGGAAGATGTGACCTTCCAAAGCTCTCATTACTTCCCCTGCCGTGCTTCAGCCTGCGAGAACCTGGAGCTAAGTAAGGCGTGTAGGGCAGGCAGTTTGGCCACACTGATGTCAGGTCCAACTGGAAGTGCCATAGGGTCGCCTAAATTTAGGGCCAGGATGTGCGTGATGTTTGAGCATTGGTGTGATTTCCCTGGGTGTGGGGTACCTTTCTCATCCATGGCTTTACTCTCATCGTGTCAAATTTGAACAACTCTGAACTTCAGATTGAATTTTTAAAAAACATCCTTTCTTTTGCTGACCTTGCAGAGAAATGTGGGCCAACATTCCTTCCGACAAAAGGAAAACTGTCACTGTCTACACTCTTACTTCCCCATGTGAAAAGAAGAATGGGAACTGCAGTCTAGGAGTACTCAAAGAGAGCAATCAATTTTCTTAGATAACAACAACAAAAAGAAACCTGCCTTAGCAACAGGATGTAAAGCATCACGCCCCGCCCCCCAAAGACTAAATCAACTTGACTATGTCAGTATCATGAAAATACCCTGAGTTTACAGAAAAAGGTTTGCTCACAGTCTTTTCCCAGTTTGTGATGTGACTCCATCATTTAAGGAGTTATTTGTAAATTATTTTCTTTTTTCTAATATCCGCATGCCTACTTAGTTTTGAACATATATGTTGTAAAAGCACATAGTCAATTTTTAAAAAAGAACTAGAAGGAAAGTAAAGAGTTTTGGTTAATGTTTTGTTATTATTTTCAGTTACTTATATAACCTTAATAAACTAAAATAGAAAATTTTAAAGTATCTCTTATTTATTACAGGAACCATTAAGTAACTTTTCTAAGATTCAGTAAGCTTGATTTTATTATAATAGCAATTTTTATGTATTTTTGTGATTACTGGTTTTGCATATAAATTTTACATGAAACCTAGGTATTCACAGCAATGCCACAAAAATTGTTTTGACATGCAGTTGTGGATGAACCAATGGTATACATATTTTTAAAAACTATACCAAATATGAGGCCAGGGATATAGCTCAGTGGCACAAGCACCTGCCTGGCAATTGCAAGGTCCTGAGTTCGATTCCCATACCAAGAAAAGAGAAGAAAGAAAGAAGAAAGAAAGAAAGAAAGAAAGAAAGAAAGAAAGAAAGAAAGAAAGAAAGAAAGAAACTGTACACCAAATAGATTTTTTCTATGATCAAAGAGTCTCTAAGGAAATAATTAGGCAGATTCTTCAGATTTTTCTCTCTGTATAAATTGTTAAAGAATCTTGCGAGTGACATAATATTACTCTGAAAGAAAAAGGAGTGGGGGAAGAAGGCAGAGAAAAAGAAAGGAGAGAAGAGGGAGGAGGAGAAGGTAGAAACTAGATGCAGATGTCACTCATGACTTACCATAACCATTTTGCCATCCTTAATTTCTCTCACAAATTTTGTTTCCTTGCCATCCCATCTCTGTGTGTGAACGAGTTTGTCTCCATCCAGACTAACAACAGACTGAAAGCAACACAGAATATTACAATAGGTGCAAGTCAGGTTTCTGATATGGAAGTCTTGTGTGGTTGAATAAACTGTCAGCCATATTCCATGAGTTCTGCCGTCTTCCATTACTACCCAGATTACTGTGTACACTCCACTAATTCATAACTTGATTGAAACATGTCCATCTCAATGCAAACACGTCACATGCTAGAAATTAAAACTCTCAGCTAGTGTTTAAGCAAAGTCTTAAAAGGAGGCAAACTAGTTAGCTAATCTGACGGAAGCGGGCAGAGTGAACAAGGTGCAATCTTTCTATGGACTGAACACTGCTTAATACCTCCTGGAATGCAAGCTTGATATAAAATATGAAAAGTAATGAGAAACGAATGGGTTTGAATTTGGGGTACAGCCATCACTGTTGCTCAAAACATAATGTGGGCACTGTAGAGTGATAACTCCAGGTCTTTCTTCCTTCTTCCTAAATAGGAAATATTGAAAACATTCTCTACCATCCACCTTTGAAGAAAAAGAGAGGCACTGGGCATCTCTCTTTTCCTCCTCCCTTCCCACCTTCACGCTGCAGAAGTAACTTCTTACCTTACACTTTCTGTCATCTGCACTGATTTCATCGAACTCCTCTCCCAGGTGGAAACTGATCTCCGTGTTCTTGAATGTGCACTGGGTCCGGATCACCACCTTGCCTGCTTCCTGACTGATAATCACTGTTGGCTTGGTCACATTCCCCACTTGCCTCGTGGCAAAGCCCACACCTAAAACAGCAAAAGGAACAGGTACAACCCGCAGCCCCTTGCAGAATAGCTCACAGCACAGACCTCCGCTTCCCAGGCCCAGAGGCCGGGAGACACTGTTACTGATTAACGGTCAGTCCACCAGTCGGGCCACTACTGAGCACAAATATGTGAATGCTGAGGAGAAACTGCCAAAGTCCCAGCAGTGTCACGCGCTCTGCAGAACACCAAGTGCTCAGCCCACGTGGCCCTGGGTGGAAAAAACGGGCAACTGCCACAGTAAACTCCGAGTGTGGCATCAGGCTAGGGCAGTGAGGTCTCTTGCTGACCTGACCGGGGGAAACAGTGACCTTCGAGGCCAGAAGCTGGGGACAGAATGCGCTCAGCCTGTCTTATTCTTACGCACCCAGGGCCTTCATGTATTCATCAAAGTTCTGACTGTCCGTCAGCTTCCAGGTAGCACAGAAAGCCTCCACCATCCTCGCCTTTCTCCCCTGTAGCTTGGAAAACAGATGAGACCAAGGAGCCCAGGTCTCTGCCTCTGCAACTGCAAAGGATCCCTGTGCACCCCACAGCCGCTCCCGCCTTCTTATTTGTAAAAGAAGCTGGCACAAAGCCCAGGGCTGCAGACCCCCCCTGCGAGTGCCTCTCTCCAGTAGGCTGTCGAGGGGGAGGGATGGAAGGAGAGTGCCTCTCCCTTCGTGATTGGATCAGGCCACTGGGTTAGCAGAGCAGGTCAGTTCCACCCATCCACCATCCACGCTGCAGCCCTGCTGCCTGAGAAGGCTCCGCGGGGACTCGGGGGGCCGGAGGCGGGCACAGGAAAATGAGAGAGGGTCTTTCAGCTCTTGTGAAAAAACTTGGCAGAGGCCATCTCCAAACTGTGGAGAAAAAGGAGAGGCACAATAGCTCATTGAAATTGATTTCCGTTCATGGCAGAGCTGGTTACAGATGAGGACCTCCTTAAAGACAGCCACTGACACTCCAGACTCTGCACACAAGGAAGTCTGAACAGCGTGTTTTATTCCGTCTTCTATTTGCAGGGAGCACACAGGCAGGCGAGACGGTGCCAAAGTGAGAAAGAGGCCCTCGCTGATGGACTGCCTGAGAGCCTCGCTGGGCGTCATGGATGCTGCCTGATTTGGGCCCTTTGTCCACACACAGGAAGTGAAGCCAAAGATGTCGTTGTTCTCTCTAAGCACATGAGAACCAGACAAGGAGGGAAAGGGCTCCTCAGGAAGAGTGAGAGCAGGATTCCCCAATAAGGCGCCAAGACAAAGGAGAGAGTGTTCTGCCCCCTCCTTGAACAGACTATAGAATCCATGTGGAAAAGCTGGGCAGAAGGCCACTTAGTAAGACCCCAAACGCCCTGCACTATGGGAATTGTTGATTTTCCCAGGCCGCAGCTACACAGACAGGCTGCGTGCTTGTTTGCAGTTGCTGATGGGGAAGGAGCTGGAGTAGCCACGGGAATGGGGAGAGCTTTGGCTTCGTTTGTCTGAGCTCAAGGCTTCCCAAGAACGGCCAAATACCTTGAGGGTTCTGGTGGAGCGGACAAGGTCTCTGAAACTCCTTTTTACACAGACATTCTTTCCTTTTTGCGAGTGTAGACCACTAAGGAAAAGCAGCTTCCCAGCTTCTCAAGGAGACAGCAGTCTCTTGGATCCGCTGGGTAATCTCTGCTTTTCTCTCTCCTCCCCACCTAACACTCTGCTTTTGTCCACAGGAAGTATAGCAGACAAGGCTGGGAACGCATCGATTGCTAGCTACGTGATTCTACTTTAACATGAACTCATAAACTTTGTCCGTACCTGTTCTTCCAGTTTGCATTATATTCAGGAATGGCACCAACATCCACCCAACTAAGCCACAGATCTATGAGTCATTTCTAATACTTTACACTCCAAAATCAGTTCGATATCAACACCTCTCATTTTTGTCCTTTTAAATTTGGGGGGTACAATTCAAATGACCAATTTATCTGTGCAAGCCAATTTATACTATTATCACCAAGGATTCTTATATTTTTCATCTAGTAAGATATTTTCAAAGTGGTTCAGTGTGGAAGTGTTTTTCTAAAATATTGTAAGTCACTTCTTTTTCAAATTATGAGAATGTAAGACCAATGAGGACATCACACTGCTAAAATGTTTGCCCATACTCATTTATTTTTTCCATTCTTTGAGAAAAGTATGAGATTGTGGTATACTTAGTCCAGTAGTGGTGAACTGATGGCACATGTGTTGTTTTTCAAGACAAAAGATATTAAGATATGAGTTGGTTTTTCTAAACTCAGTGTTCTAAAACCCCAGTATTCAGGTTTAATTGCAGTGTTGGCACTTTGTGATAAATAAGTGGGTTTTGAGTTGCTGTTTGGGCACTTGTCTCTGAAAGGTTTGGCATCGCTGATTTACTCTAACTTAAAGTGCATTTTCCTATGAATCTTTTATACTTCCTATAATATAAAACATAAAAGTCCCATAACTCATAAGTGACTTTTCCACTGTGCATAAGTAAACAGAAGATAATACTGTCACAAAGATGTCCATAGTAGAAAGCTAGGAAAAGCCACTTGACTACTTTATGACTCCCTAAACTGACATTTAATCTAATTCAAATTACTCAGAATGAAATGTATCTGTACCTACAAAAGATTGCTTTCAAACAGAGCTTATTTGTTCTGATTACTGATAGTTTGATAGAAGAGAAGGCAAAAACAAAAAATAGACTATGTGGTCCTAGAAGGATTAAAAAATATCTTTTTTCCAAGTTTCCTAAACCTGGGAGCAGAATATGATCTTGAGGAGGCTTTTATAAAACACATGCACCCACAAGCTTAGAAAGACAACAGTTGTGACACATTGACTACTCCCCAAGAGACTGCCTTGTGCATTAGCTCATAGCAAGAAGGCTCTAAAGAATCCATTATAAAGATTTATTTTTTTCAAAAACAAACGAAAAGGATTTATTTTTTAAGTAGTGAAATGAAAGGAACAGAGGCAGAGAAGATGCTTTGAAAGATCTTGGCAAAATCGCCACATGAGGCTGAATCTCCTGGCGCCTGCTTTGTTAGAGTTTATTTCTTCTTAAGAAAACAAAGTATGATGAAGCTTTAACATTATTTTTAAGCTAAGTAAGCCAACCAAGATCATGACACTTTCTTGTAAGATCCCCAAGTGTACACATCAAGAGAAATTAGATAACACTCAAAGAACTTGCTTGAGGTTCTTTGGGTTACCAGATTATACACAATAAAACAGTAATGGAATATTGCTATAGTTGGACATGAAATGTGATTATAGAATGAAGCTGCTATTGAGCCATTGTGTCTCCCTGGAGAGGTAATAGATGGAATCAATCAGACCCCCTTTGCTGATACAGACAAGTGCTGTAGACAGCCTCAGAGGCACACCTGTCTTCCGTCATGTGTAGATCTCCCATCATCTCCACCCCACAGTCGTCAACCAGCTACACCAGCTCAGGTTAGGAGTGATGGAAGGCCCTTCCAGCTCCCAACCAGGGGTGAATGCAACCCTTGTGATAGACTCCAATGGGGTGAGCGGGTTAGGAGTGAGCAAAAACCAGTGGTTTATCAATCTGTGCCTTGGTGATATGAAATTTTTATCTGACTGTTCTTTAGAGAATATAGTCTAGATCAGAAAGGAAATGTCCATTTCCCAGTTGTGTCACAGCTGGAAAAGGAGAAGTTTTTAGAGAAATAATCTCATTTGTTTTCTACTTCATACAGTTTTTCCTACACTTTTCCCTCCTTGGACTTCTCATTATCTAAGTGCTCCATTCTCTGTGTTTTCTTAAACGTGAAGTCCTTATTTTGCTTCTGGTCTGATAAAGTGGCTCAAGAGACAACTTTTATTACAGGCTTATTTTTAATCAGAATACCGGGAATTTCTCTCCTCTGGCTACTTAGACACCACAGCTTTGCCAAGAAAACTCTCCTCCCCAGCCCCCTTCGTTAATTTCCACTTGTGGAGTTTAGCTCAAATATTGTTTCCTGAAGGACGACTGGTTTGGAATCCCTGTGATTATGCCCTCCCATGGTTTTCTTTATGTCTTTTGCAAATATAATAATTTTGATTAGACAGTTCTGCAATCAGTTTAATATCTTCCATAAGAAAAAAATGACCTGATTTGTCCTTTTTATTCTACAAAGAGCTCCATACCCAATGTCTAGCACAGTTTCAAGTCCACAGGGTCTGGTCAACAAGTATTCAAAGTATGAACAAATATGGAGAGTGAAATCAGAGAAACAAGTTAAAAAATGTAAGAATTTAAACAGTAGCCTATGTGGTCTGTGTATTCTTTCCCAAGTGTTTATCCAAGCTTCTGCTCTATGCAACCTGTCTGGTCTCCAGCATGGGCTATCTAAGCTTCTTCCTCATCTCTACCATGCTAAGGCTTGGGAAAAAACTAAGGATCCTCTTTTTAGCTTTTTTTCCCCTTTGAAGTAAAAGCACATAGAATAGTCCAGGAGAGCATTAAAACGCGATGTGGATTTATTAATACAAGAGGAAGAGAGTGCTGTGCCATGTCAGTGTGGAAGCCTGATACCAAGGAATGTGCAGGGAAGTTGTCCTTTTCAGTGAATCCTCTGATCTGTTTATTGTGGGCTACTATCCTTTTTTTTGGTTCTCTTGTCCTTGCAGCGTTTTATTGTTTACTCTATACATGAAATACCAAAGAAAACTTTGAGCAATAATCACCAGAAAAGTAGCTATTAAAAATAGTAATCTAGAATCAGTTGCACATTAAAGAACCTACTTATCCCATTTTGAACATAAACAGGACTAAATACAAGGGGAAAGATGCTTACAGAACCTTAGAAGCATTAAAAGAATAGATTTTAGGCTGAGCTGAGTTTCCAGGAATATTCACAGGACACCACTACCAAAATCCCTGTAGAGGGTGCAGGTCTCCCATCAGCAATATGGTACAAGAATGCAAAATAAAGACAAAGAAAGCTCTGCAGATAAGGAGCTCTGGGATGACCCAATGCTCCCTATGCAACAAAGGGCCCCCGCTCCAAAGCTCATGGCTTTTATTGGTATCAGTCAGGGAGGTAGGTGGGGGTCACTGCAGAGTGCTAAGGAAGAGAAACTTTGCAGGCATCAGCTGTAAGGAAAAAACAGAGCACTCTCACATCAGGCACAGGGGCGCTCTAATTAGCAGTGCAATGGATAGCTTGATGTATGCAAGCCTGGCACCTTTACTGCTAGGAAGGTACACTTCTTTCTAAATCCCACAGCCTCAGCTGAGATGTTATCTCATGTTTTAGCCCTGGAATCTCACACGCTCTTCCTTGACCCCCCCATTCCAGCTCTGGTGGGGGACAGTTCTTGCCCATGTGCTACAGTGAGATACACTGGCATCTTTGCCAGACTTGATCATATTGTTTTGGCCAATAAAGGGAACATCTGCTTCTATATAGCAAGTTCCATATATCTCAGTGAATAGGGTTGAAGTAGAAGTCAGGTAAAGATCAAGGCAAGAGGCTTCATTTCTCAGGACAACCCAGCTTGGCAGTCTCCCACACACCACCAAAGAAACTGACCTGCT